GGTGAATAAAAAACCACCCCTACACTACTTCTAAATTGAACTGGAAACCAGAATAATTACAATAAACCAGGCTTGAAAACATTCGATAAGCCTTCTTCATGGTCTCATCAGGTAATTTAGAAAAGCAGAACAAAACACTTTCCCTCTTAAATCTGAGGATTTCCATATTGTTCTTATTCACTCATACGGGCCCAGTGGTGTGTAGCAACGCTGCAGGCAAAGAAAAAGGTCTAACCAGAAGCAGCAGCTCAGAAACTACATTTCAGCTGTTTCAGTCTCGTAACAAAGGTAGTAGTAAAGCAAACTCCTGTCAACAGCAAAAATAAAAAGCTCAAATAGCCCATCATACTTTAAAAGGGAAAAGTAAGGAAAAACATTCTCATTTGTTTTGTAGCACAAATACAAATTTTGCACCATGTTTCACATTACTCCTATAAGCACTTCACATAACTATGCTTTGGTCTGCTGGAATTTCATGTCAGTGTAGGAAAATTTTGCAGAATCATCTCAAACACCAGACTAAGCAATAAGCAGTAAATACCTTCTGAGGAAAAATGGCAGAGAAAAAGTCTAAACCTAAATTTTTTTATTATTCCTGAAGTGTTATGAGGAGCACGCCAGAAGGCTGTGCTGCCATTCAGCGAGACCTGCACAGGCCAGAGAGCTGGGCAGAGAGGAACCTAATGAGGTTCAATACGGGCAAGTGTTGGGTCCTGCACTGGGGAGGAATAACCCCATGCACCAGGACAGGCTGGGGGTCAATCAGCTGGAGAGCAGCTCTGTGGAGAAGGACCTGGGAGTCCCGGTGGGCAGCAAGTTGACCATGAGCCAGCAATGGGCCCTTGTGGCCAAGAAGGCCAATGGTGTCCTGGCATGCATAGAGAAGAGTGCGGCCAGCAGGTCAAGGGAGGTTCTCCTCCCTCTCTACTCTGCCCTGGTGAGACCACATCTGGAGTGCTGTGTCCAGTTCTGGGCCCCCCAGTTCAAGAGAGACAAAGAACTACTGGAGAGAGTCCAGTGGAGGGCTATGAAGATGATTAGGGGACTGGAGAATCTTTCTTATGAGGAAAGGCTGAGAGATCTGGGTCTGTTTAGCCTGGAAAAGAGAAGACTGAGAGGGAACCTCATCAACACTTGTAAGTATCTAAAGGGCGGGTGTCAAGAGGATGGGGCCAGGCTCTTTTCAGTGGTGCTCAGCAACAGGACAAGGGACACCAGCCACAAATGAGAACACATGAAGTTCTATCTGAACATGAGGAAGAACTTCTGTATTTTGAGGGTGACAGAGCACTGGAACAGGCTGCCCAGTGAGGTTGTCATGATAGGGCTAAGATTTAAACCTAGGTAAAAGCATGCTTTTTGCTGGGTTTTTGCATTAAAGCAGCTATCTTGGGTCAGCTATTTTGACATGAAATATTTATGCTTTCTCTTGCCCTGATGATAGCGCTAAGACTTTCTTGTATTCACCATGTTAAGCCTGGTTGTTTTAAACTGTGTAGTTTAGTCTTTGAGAACCATTTGATCTTATACTCTCTGTCTGTAGTTTCCATTGTTTGTTAGAGAATATTTTTTTTTTTACCAGTTAGGATATAGCGAACTTAATCATGTGTTTGTGTCAAGGAAGGACAGTTTGTGTGATCTTTGATGTCTGGAAGAGATAGACATATCTACATATGTAAATAACAGGAACTTGGAATAACATCCAAGTAAAGCACGAGACCAGGGGACACAAAAAAGTGTTCAAAGGACAACTGAGCATGAGCACAGGTTGGGGTTGAAGAAAGGACAACATGAGGAAGACTATGGACGACCACCAGAGGGAGAAGAGACCCCTACCATAATTTAACTGCGCATGTTCCAAAACCATTAGCATATAGTAATGAGTCCTAGGAAAGTATTGAATATTATAATTAGTTCTGAGAAATTGAATGAATATGCACAAGTTAAACTGTACTTAAGCTACTTTGTGAGACCACTCCGGTGGAGCACTCTGGTGGAGCAATCCCCAGTGCTGTCCAAATGCTGCAATAAAGAATGCCTGGTTAATAACACTCTGTTATTGAGTTTTCATCTCAGAGTCCTTACCCAGCCGCATCTAGCCTCCCACCTCGGTGAGGAGTGTTAGAAAGCAAGGGGGTTTGGAAGCTCCGAATTTTGTTTTGGTGGAGTCTCCTTCTCTGGAGATATTAAAAACTCACCTGCACACGATCCTGTGGGACCTGCTCTAGCTGAACTTGCTTTAGCAGGGGGAGTGTAAAAGCCAACTTCTAGCTCCCTGAAACAAAAGCAGCCTGATGGAAGAAGATAAGGCGAGGGAGGGGCAAAGGCCCTCCTGAGCCTTCCCCTTAGGATGTCTCAAACACTTGCAAAGTACCCAGAAAACAAAAACTGGGTTGATGATGTGGAATCGGGTTATCCGATAGGCCCTGTACTCAACTGATAAGGCCAACATTTGCTTATTTCATGTTCAAAGGATATGACTGGAGGAGGGAGCCCTGTGAATATGGGGCAGTTCTGCTCTGGCCCAACTTGTTTTGTTCTCAGGACCACTGTACCTGATGAATGGCCGTTCGCATATGTTAATTAAGATTAGCACTCATCCACCCACTCAAATCGTGCTACACATTATCTGGGGAAAGGGGAAACTTGAGACTAAGTAGTGGGGGGTCGCACTGATACAGTGAATATAAACAGGGGAGAAAAGTGACACGATGGCGGGGCAGGGTATTTCAAGAAGAAAGAACACTACCACCACCACACAGAAGAGTGCTCCTAGGAACCCCCGCTGGCTGTACCAATGCTGGGACCTGGAGCGGTGATCTATCTCTTTCTTTTTTCCTCTCTCTCATTTTACTTTTGGACACTATCAAACTTTTTGCTGAAGTTGTTGGGGTTTGTTTGGGAGAATTCTTTTGCATTGCAATTAAATTTAGATTTAAACGAGCCTCCAGAATAATTGTCATTATTCTGGATTGCCACACAGAGTATTTTAAAAGATCACCTTCCCCTAGCCCACTGAGTGGGACAGGACAGGGGGGTGGACTAGATGATCTTCAGAGGTCCCTTCCAACCCCTACCATTCTGTGATACTAGATGTGGAAATTAAAGAGAAATTACTAGTCCATGTTCACACAATCAGCAAAGGAGGAACTCAGGATACAACCTGACCCATGAGAGGGGCTTCATCTTTTGCTATCCCCCGGCAGCGTGGGGTACCAAACACCACAGCACACTGAAGTGGTATTCAGAGTTGTACTATCATGGTTTGTAAAAAGAAGATCACTCTGTAGTGGGCTAATTATTTCCTACTCATACCACAGCCTCTCACTGACTGTTTTTAGTATGCAAAGTACATTTTCCAGCTGTTGTTTTTCAGTTTGTTCCTTTAATCCCCATCCAGCACATTCAATACTGGCTCAGATATCTCTCCTAAACCTCAGTTTCCATTCACAGAAGTTTGGAGTGCTCAGTTTCAGCCTGCACATGCAAAAACCATCAGTGATATTTTCTAACTGAAGTTTTGATCACCCTTCAGCTGCAACTAGATGTGGCAGCTTCCTACCTCTACCTCTGCTGCTAATCAGGCACTTAAAAAAAAATAATATTGAAGTTTAACATTACTCCATTCCTTACCTTCCACTTGGTCCTGATCTTCTTTTCTGCTGTAATAAAATGACAGAAAGAAATATCATGCCTACTCCAGCACAGGGGGGAAAACATAGTTTGAAAAGAGATCAACATGGCTAGCCTTTTTAGAACACTGTCTTGTAAAAATCTAACATCTCTCCCTCCCTGCCCTCTCCAACCCTTTGCCCTGCACCTACTCCCTACTGTCTGGAAATCTAAGATACTGCCTCTGCATTGTTGTATTTCAACTACACTAAGTAATTAGTTCCTATAACCTTCCGTAGGAATAGTACAGTTGCACACATCATAAAAAAGCAGACGCTGAGAACAAGAAGAACTGCCCAGCATTAGAATAAGTCAGAGCTAAAATGAAGTTTTCGGCATCCAGGTCTCTATTCTTAAGATTTAGTTGGTTTTGATATACAAATAGGGTGAGTATAAAAAAAAAACTCAGAGACTTAAGCAATTAAAACATGACAGGTAGCATTCAATCTCACTGCTAGGCTCTGCTGATCGAATCTGGCAGTGTAAGCAACCATTCTGATGCAAACTGGTTTAGCTAGAGGTAACTGCTTGGTTTTTTTCAGAGGTTCCTCTTCAGATCTGTGTAGTATTCCTTTATTTCCTAGCAAGCCTGGTGATACTGCTGTCTGCAGGCTTGCTAGGAAAAGAGGAAATGCAGCTGAAAGTGCTGCTGAAAAGAGTAAGTCTTACCCTCTGTGACTGATAGTATCCGCAGGCTTGACAGGGTCATGGAGAGTACTCACTCTTTTCAGCTGCACTTTTCACCAGCTGGCCTAACATAACACACAACAGATTTTGGTCCAATTCTCAGCTTAAAGCAACCACATAATGAAAAGCTGTTATCACAGCTGTTCCGTTTATTAAGGGCAGTTTCAAAGCGTATCTCACCATGAACTTGCTTTCAAATCCCCAAGGGTTCAAGGAATCATAATCAAGGGATTATGGAACAACATTAAAACACTGATAACATTCAGCTGAGCTGATCAACATGTGATATTAATCCAGGAGCCAAGTAAACTGCAAGAATTTTTGTCACACTGTAGTAGTCTGTGATGAATATGTTTTTCATCAAAGCACTCAATTCTCAGGTTTAATGGTCAATTGATGCTTAAAGAATTAAAGACGTTGTTGCCTGGCTCTCCAGTGTTCTTTCTAATATGAAAAGTAAACTGAGGCATAAGGAACATCCCCACACCTATCAAATCTGAAAATCCCAACAGCTGGAGGCCAAAAAGCTGATGTTATTATACCACCCAGATAAACCTAAATGCTTATTTCTCTCTCATTCCATTCATGTACTTTGCTGCTGTGTACATGAAATTGAGGAGAACCAGAACGGAAGGACTTACATGCTTGTGTCTTGTACCAAGCCAGGCAGATGTTCTCTGTTATAGTAGCTATAGCATTGATCACATACACGAGACAGATTTTCTCTGCAAGCTTCTACTGCCATTTTCTTGGTGGAGCAAGAGCTGCACACGAGCCTGCCACAGCGCCTGCAGTGATGGCGCCTGTTAAACTAAGCAAAAGAAGTCATGAATGAGAAACAGAAGAATTTTACTAAGTCACTTCCTATATCTGACTACACTTATAAGTAAACTTACTCCATTTGAAGAGAGGAAACACCATGCATGATAAAGCTTTTCAGAACTATGCAATGATTGATTCTCACTGTTACAATTCCTTTCTGGAGAGGGCATGGCAAAGAAAACAAAAACAACAGGTGCAGGTATTCAAAACGTGTTTGCTGAAGTCTTGGGCTTCCGACTATTTAAATCGTCTCAGTTTTGATCACAGCGCTAGTTAGATCATCCCTTGGAAAAAGTCAGAAGCTGCAGAGTGTCTTTCTGACACCATCTTATTGTTTTCCAAATTCAAAAGCAACAGACACTTAGAGAAAACAGTACTAAGTAGTAGAAGATAACAGACTGCCAGCACACCTGCAAAACTCAAAATTAACCTTCTCCCTGCACCAATGCAGTTGCTCAAGTACCGGAACAACAGGTTTTAGAAAAGTGTAACCAACAGCAAAGATAACATTTTCTATATGGGTAATCCAAATTATATGATGCTTATGTTATTTCTTGTCGGCACAGTCAACTAGACAGCTTTTGAAATATTAATACTGCTATCATTACACATTTTTGAGATCTCAATTGTCTCCTCTCTGATGACCATATTTCCTCTTTTGGCTCTATCAACTCCTTGCAGAGTCCTGTGAAGTAACTGCTGCCAGTCTCCTCAACCGCACTAAAGAGAAACTAACAGTTAAATATCAAAGGACTGGCAATCGGCAATCTTGTCAGGCCTACACTGATGCAGACAAACTTACTAAAGTAGCTAGTGTCTCTAGAAAACAGACCATGAGCAGGTCATATTAAGGTCACAGTTCTAGGAGCATCTGTACTTTGTTTTTGCTCCTTACCATAGTAAAGCGTTCAGTTTTGCAAACCATACATATCGTTTCAGTGTCATCAGGTATCCATTGCTGCTTTCGTGGTGGCTTCTCAGGAGGCACAAATTCTTGAGGAAACAAATTCTGCTGCAGACTTCTGTCTCTCGGACTTGCAGGTATGGTGACACCTTAAATAGAGCCAGGCCAAGAAAAACATGGAACAGGATTTAAGCTGTTTCATGGAGTCTTGAATCATAGAATCATAGAATGGTTTGTGCTGGAAGGGACCTCAAAGATCATCTTATTCCAAACCCCGGCCATGGCAGGGGCACCTTCCACTAGACCAGGTTGCTGAAGGCTCCATCAAGCCTGGTCTTGCACACTGCCAGGGATGGAGCATCCTCAGCTTCCTTAGCCAACCTGTTCCAGTGTCTCACCACCATGAGGGTGAGGAACTTCTTCCTTGTATCTAGTCTAAACCTGCCCTCTCCCAGCTTCCAACCGTTACCCCTCGTCCTGTCACTGCAGGCCCTTGTAAAAAGTCCCTCCCCAGCCTTCTTGTAGGCCCCCTTCAGGTACTGGAAGGCCACTATAAGTTCTCCTCAGTCTTCTCTTTTCCAGGCTGAACAAGCCCAACTCTCTCAGCTTGTCCTTGTAGGAAAGGTGTTCCAACCCTCTGACCATCTTGGTAGCCCTCCCCTGGATTTGCTCCAGCAGCTCCATGTCTTTCTTGTGTTGGGGGCTCCAGAGCTGGATGCAGTATTCCAGGTGGGGTCTCATGAGGGCAGTGTAGAAGGGCAGAATCACCTCACTCAACCTGCTGGCGGCTATAAGACCTTTCTGGCTCACAAGATGACTACTATTATCTTTCAACTAGGCATGGCAGAATAACATTGTATAAGGAATACATATGCTTTAGGCTAAAATTTTAAGATTGTAAACTTATAGTATTTCAGTATTGATAAGCAAGAGTACATACTTATCAATAGACCTTTACCATAACAATTAGAGAAGTATAAGACACCTTGTCAACATCTGTTCTTGTATCATAAGCAAAGATTCAGAGGAGAAAGAAAAAAAATACCCCAGTATATGGATACCAAGAAGCGCTATAGTGTAAGAGAAGAGAAGACTGAGAGGGGATCTCATCAACACTTATAAATATCTAAAGGGCGGATGTCAGGAGGATGGGGCCAGGCTCTTTTCAGTGGTGCCCAGTGAGAGGACGAGGGGCAATGGGCACAAGCTGGAGCACAGGAAGTTCCACCTGTACATGAGGAAAAACTTCTTTACTCTGAGGGTGACAGAGCACTGGAACAGGCTGCCCAGGGAGGCTGTGGAGTCTGCTTCCCTGGAGATATTCAAAACCCGCCTGGATGTGTTCCTGTGTGACCTGCTCTAGGCTAACCTGCTTTGGCGGGGGAGTTGGACTAGATGATCTCCAGAGGTCCCTTCCAACTCCTACCATTCTGTAAATTCTGTGATTCTGTAAAATATAATCTTAAGGATACCCAGACATTCCTGAAGACTGAGGCATTTCTTTGTTATCTCAGGAGAGGTGTGGTATGGCTAGCAACAGCATATCCCTCCCTGTTCTGGTCCCCTTCACAACCTACTGTGGGGAAATCAGTTCAAAGAGGTAGGAGTTCAAGTCTTCGGGATCTTTGAAACACTCATTGAATCAAGGTTACAGTATCAGATAGGCTTTTAGTTTATATGATGTAAGCCCATTACACTACAGGCTAATTCAAGTGTTCAACATGTCATTGCAGCCCTGCAAGCCACCTTCTGTGTACATGAGTACTAAACTGAAAGAGAAAAAAATCTCCATTCCAATAAAGCTAACTCATGCTCACTCAAGTAGGTACTGGAATGCAAAGGAATATTAGAGGACAACGTATTCAAGTTTTGTAACAACGTACAGATATTAACCTGACTATAATGAGAAAACCTGAAGAGCTACACAGCCCAATCCAAGACGCTGCTGTCACTTCACGTAGGCAGAGCAAGAAGAGGCTTCAGTTCAGGATACAGAACCAGCAAACAGTTCAGACACCCTAAACTGTAGGTCAGGGAATCACTGTGCAGCTCTAGTTCAGGCCCATCACTTGCTGAGAATCACCACCCTTGGAGATCTGAGGACATCCTTTGCTAGTCACAGAATCACAGAATGGTAGGGGTTGGAAGGGACCTCTGGAGATCATCTAGTCCAACCCCCCTGCTAAAGCAGGTTCACCTACAACAGGTCATACAGGACTGTATCCAGGCAGGTTTTGAGTCATTCCCTGAGAGCACAGGCTGTGCATTTCTCACAATACATTACCCTCTAAAGACTGTATCTCTTGCATTAGATGCTGAATGGAACCTATACAAGTATTTGTAGTTGCTTTTAAGGCACAAACATTCTTCAGTTGTTTTAGCTTAAATTATTTTGTTTCTATTTATTGGTGTTTGAGGACTGTAAGTTGAACCTCTCAGACAATACAAGGTGTGCCATTTCTCTCAGGTCACAAGAGGGATCCTAGAAAAAAAAATAATTCAAGGACCAAAAGAATGAAGAAAAAAAAAATATGACAACACGAACGAGATTTCTACTTTAAAACCAAAGTTAAGATCCAGAAGAAAAAGTTACTGAGCAAAGAATAGGAAGACAGAGAGAAGTAACACAATGATGGGCTTCCAGAGAAGCTCTGCCTATATATCCAGAGAGAGTACAGAAGTCAAGACACAGAAAGATTAAACTGCAGTGCCATTAATCCACTAGCAACCTAGCTGTGGCAAAGAGCTAATACTTTTTTTTCCCCTGCAGATGTAGTCCTGTTTCCTACAGTCTGTTCAAGCTTGTTCAGGTCTGGAATGGAAAGGTTTTGTGCTGATTTTTCAGACATTTTGTAGATACCTACCAAAAACGAAAACAGAGCCATACACTTCTTGTTCCCCTTTAAGGTCTCTTTTAATTGGGCCCAAAGCACCCAACTAACCTGCATTAAATGCAACCCAAGTTACTGTTAAGCAGTTGGACACACATACATAGGGGATAAAACATTTAAATAAGAACAGATTGAAAGAAAATGGCACCAAGGTCTTAATCTTACCGGTAAAGCTGACAGGGGATAGTTCTGATGATCCCGATTTAGACAATGCTTCACATTCTAATACCTGATTGAGACTTTCTTGGATACGTATCAGAGAATCTAGGACAAATGGAAGAAAAAAAAAATTGAGAGAACAAAACTGGCCATATATCCAGCTGTTTTTACAAAGATTAGAGGAATCCATTCACAGGAGTACCTAAGAATGTCAGCACACAACGGGACTAGCTATGTAATTACAAATTACTATGTTTTCATGAAAATGAGCCCACAACAGTTCATGCAAAACTATATAAAATTCAATGATGTAACAGAGAGAAAGGAATCCTTATCAAAGCAATGGACTACTGATAGGCACAGGACTAATACAGCAGAGAATAAGTATCAGATGTGAAAACAATTAGTTGATACAAGATGCTCACAGCAAATATTAAATGCTTCACATCATAGTGGAAGAAACGTACTTGCAAAATGATAGGTCATTTGGCAGGAAAAGACAGGTAAGTCTGATTCTTTTATGTTAGCAAGAGCTGCATCTTTAAATCATGAAATGAAGTCGACACTTGAAAACTGGCATAAAGCAAGTTGGCACCATATATGTAGGTATAAATAGATAAGTACACACGCCATGCACTTTTAATACAGTGAAACAAAAGCACTGGACTTGATCTGCAGCACCCCCTGCTGTTCCAGTTCTAAAACCCCGAAAGGAGAGTGCCAAATGCAGGAGAATCAAAGACAACATGGATCGAGAAGGGACTGGCAAACCAGAAAGGAGAACTGTGCTGAGAATGTTCAATAGACCAAGTTTAAAATCCTTTTATATGCAAAAAGGAACAGGAGTCTGATAGGAGGAAACATTATGGAAGATTAAATCCCCATTCTGTCTGGGGGAAGATGCAGTTGGCTGCAAGTTTTAGAACTGCTTAAGTTGTCACTGACTTTGTGTTAAACAGGAATGGAATAAAATTGAACAATATCACGTAAGAGAAAGAGACCCCCAAAAGGAGCAACAGAGGAAAGTCTGAAAAACTTTTGAAGCTGTTGGTCCTTCAGAACATCTATTTACAAGAAAGGCAAAGACATTAAGAACATGTTCTGGGCTAGAGGGAGACTAGATGCATATATCTAAAAATGTTGTGGCACAATTAGTGAAATGATTCTGGGTGGAAACTGGCCTTTCTTTCCCAAGTGATAAACAGCATTCTCATGGACAGTCACCTGATCTCTTTTCTTTTAATGCAAAAGGGAAGTTGAGAGCTTTTTCTGCATACTTGGAAAGCAAATTGTCAACATCTTCTACAGTAAAACCAATTTCCTGTCCAGCTAAGAGCTGGTGCAGTGTCTGCACAGCAACAGCTACCCAGTCCACCTTCATATTCATGAGGAGCTGTTCCAACATGAGCAGTGGCCTGGAGGAGAGGTGGAAGTAGTTAACACGGGAGAGCTCAGGCAGAGTCAGCAGCACCTGAGACACAAGGAAAAAAGCGTATGTTAAAATTATACACTTCAAATCTGTGTTTCTGTGAGATTAAAGACAAGAAACTAGCACAGTAGCTTATGCAGAGAATGGAATAACAGGCCAAAAAATGGAGGTGGGACTTCAGACCTATTCCTACTTCTGTCACAGCATTACTGAGTGGATTTGCAGAAATTACTTAGCTTCCACTTTCCCATTCTATAAAACACTGCCTCATTACAACAAAAAAGTTGTAGCAGAGTAGAGCACATTCTCTTATCAAAATACGTTTATAAAAAGAATATTAGCCCAATTGTTATCCTTCCATCATTTGAGGAAAAATAAAGAGGAGAAAATAAGAGCAATTCTCTCAAGATGGACAGTTAATACAGACACTTAAATTAAATCATGTCTTCAAAAGGGACATGTAAAGAAACAGGAAGCCAGCAAAATACTGTTGGGACACACACTGGAGCAAGCTGCTATTTGTAGTCCTACAACAAAACAGACACTACCAAAAGCACTGCATTTTGTTTACATATAATGCGTTAGACTAAGGTAATCTACTGGTTAATGTATCTATTCCCAGGCTGAGCACAGAACCTGTATGACTCCTGGAAAGGCAATGGTCATCCAAAAAGAGGACTGATACTGTCTACCTTTGGAAGGCATTTGGGAAAAACATGCTATGTAAGTGTCAGAGACCACCATACAGGTGGGCATATGCAGGTGTAATGGGTCTGCATGGCAAGGTT